TTCGGCTGAGACGATGTTGGATGCCATCGCTAGTGCCAGCCCGGTAGCAGCGGCGATCAAGCGCGAACTCGAACCGAGGAACATGGTGCTGATAGGGTCTTCGAATACAGCACGGGGTGTAGCTTGGTCAGGCAAATTGAAGAATGGCCGATCGACCTGTTGGTGTTCGAACGACGGCGCTTGGGAACAAGACTGTGAAGGGTGATTGCAGGTGGTATTGTCGAGGTCAAGACACGAGCGACTCTCTACCAAGGACATTTGGCAATAAGAATCCTGCATAAAACCATAGGATAAGACCACGCGTACGAATATTGTGCAAACTCAGATGGCTGTCGAGGCAAGTCACGACGCCTGCATCCTGTTTTGGAGCCGAATCAAGCAAATACCAGCTGATCTTTCGAGCAGGCACGAATGCCCGGTCTTGTTATCACGCAGAGAAATTATCCCATTTGCAACTGCATTATCAGTTGCTTGTAACTTGTCCGCTCAGGCTTTAGATAGATCGTGGAGCATTGAGTGCACATCGTTACTGTTGGGCACCTGCACGTCCAGCAGACGTAGATCTAATTTGGGTGATCAAACTGCCAAATTTTAGTCCATGCAGCGAGAGTTTTTTCAAATAGGTTTAGTGACCTTATGCAGACGCTTGAGCTTTGGTTCTTTAATCCGGAACGAGGCCGCGGGATTAGTACAATACTTGTATTAATAATACACTCCTTCAACGAGTCAGGCTCCATGGTGGTGTGGGAGATCCGACGACGACTTCACTACTGCGAGCACTACTATTACACGCGAATTGACATTGACGTGGCAATTTGAATCTCGGCACGAACTCCTCGGTATCCATAGGATTTCTGGGGATTCCAAGAAAAGTTGCTTCGACTCTTTTCAATAGGAGGCTTCAGTTATAATTGGAGTAGAAAAACCTTTATGCGTCTGTTCCCACGTTCTTTATTTATTTCCTATTTTAATGAGTTCTCTTTAACTTGGTATTTTATTAGAAAAATACGTAGTACAGTGCTACGTCGAACTACTATCCAAAAAGTAAAAATACGTTAATTAAACTACAAACATACACCGATTTAGTCGTTTTATAATAACATAAATTTCAGAGAATACGTTATGCACAATATTGCTCCTTTGATTCCGTAGTTGAACACGAACATTTATACTGCAGCACAATTCCATTTAATGTCTACAGAATTTCACCTCGCACTTCGTTCCTTCAGCGACCGTCGTAGGTAACCTTGCCTCGCTAAGAGCTAGAGTTGAGCTGGGGCAACAGTGCCCACACCAGACACTTCTTGGTCAACGGGGGAAATTTGATCTACACTACTGCCTGCCGAGGTCTGATTGCTCTGTTGGGTTACGAC